GGCACAAGCGTCCTGGTGACGTGTCCAGTGCACGTAGCATGGCACAAGCGTCCTGGTGAAGTGGCCAGTGCACGTGGCCTGGCACAAGCGCCCTGGTGACGTCACCGCTACTTATTGGAGGGCGGCGGTGTGTTAGTGGTGTTGCGTTCCCCGTCCGTTGTGCTCGGCTACCGACTGCGTGGCAAGAAAAATAGCGGTGCAGATGAAAGTTGAAAACGAAAACGGACAGCTTTTTGTCAATCCGCTGCTGGATTGAAGGTATCCTCCTACCCACCACACCTTTGTCCGTCGGTCATGGGGGTTGTTTTGACCATACGTCACCAGGCTGGTCAAGTGCGGGTTTTGGTGAAGTTCTGGAGTCCCAAAGACCGAATCAGATAATGTTATCTCTCTCTCTCTCTCGTCGAGAGTCGGTGAAGACTCTTCGTTACTCCCCAAGTGTCGTCGAATTCGGGTTCGCCCGGTAACTCGTAGCCACCGCTCCGAGCGCCCTGGGGGTTTTGTTTCACGCCGGCTCAATGTCACGCATTCCCCACGGCTCGCACCCCCCGCTGGCCAGGTGAAGTGTTTGAAGTCTCTCATCGTTTGTTTTGACGATTCTGCGCCACAGGTGTTTAGCCAACACTCTGCAACTCTGTCGAGCCACGGGGATAAATAATCGAGGGGCGCTGCAAGGGGGACCTGGTCGGTTCCTCCATCGGCACCAGCAGCCATCATCCATCCACCGCTGGTTGAAGGCCGTTTCCACTTTTTTTTTCGCCCACACACAAAACAAGCGTGGGCTCCAGGGGGTAGATCAAGCTCGGCTCGGAAGAGACTCTTGACCAATCGCGCTTTCGGTGAAAACGAGCGCCACTTAAGTGGGGGCATCAACGGTGATTGGTTGCACGGATGAACTCACCTCTATGTGATGGGAACTCCGAATTTCCACCACTACTGGTGGCTCCTCTTGCGGGGCTCTTAACTAGTACACTGTTGTTTTTTGTTGCCCACGCACAAAATAAAATGACTCCCGAAAAATCTCATCAGCCACACATCCCATGCAGAAAGTGCCGAGACTCAGTGAGGAACTACTGAGGAATCTGACATTTCACCGCCATCGTCGTCACCGTAATACGCCTTGCTCTGTCCACTGCTGGATGAAGATTTCCCCCTCAAACCGTCGCTGCCGTGCGTCCAGCAGCGGCGCGTGAACTCAATGGATTGTTAAAGCATCAAGGGGCATGCGGAGAATGTGGCTCTGTGCCCTCGTGATGTATTGAGGGCTACGAACCCGGCGGACCCGAGTTCGTAGTCCCGCTCACGGCCATCACCAGCACCGGTGACGATTATCCGAACCGGTTCCTGGGCCTCCTCCCCCTAGGTCGACTCAGACTCAAATCAGTAACCTGATCGCGGTGTGTAAACAACGCCACTGGGGGAGACAAAGGCGGCCGGGCGTGGCGCTGGCCACCCACCCCCTAATTTTATTTATGTATTTAACGAGGGACGCCCCCCCCCCTCTCCCTGTGCGGCACGTGGGTTAACACAACACTGGCCTGCAAGTGGACCTTGGTCTACCAGTAGGTGGCGATGCTGCTATTCGTTTTGCGATCCAGTGATTGAGAGGGGAGAGTCGGGGGGGTGGTGCTTTTCTACTTCTGTCTACTCAGGGATTGTTTTCATCTGTGGCCCGTGTCTCGGTGTGACTCAGTTGTGAGTCTCCGCGACTCCGCGTCAAAGTCTGCCTCTGCGTTGTCGCATCTACCTTGCGTTTGTCTCTTTATCTCCGCCGGCCTGAGTCCGTGTGCGGCTGTATCTATCTGTATGTGTATCTATCGCTGTTATCTGCATGGCTGTGAGTTCGATTATCTCCCGATCTCCTGTGTGCTCCGCATCACAGCGTTCGTCTTTTTTTCCCCTCTCTGCCTTTTCTGTCGTTTATTTGTTTCTCTCTTATTGTTATTTTATAATTTCTGTTATTGTTATTTTATTATTTCTCTATTACTGTTACTTTATTATCGCTCTCTTATTGTTCTTTTATTATCGCTGTTATTGTTATTTAATTAGTTCTCTATTATTGTAATTTTATTTGTTCTGTTATTGTTATTTTATTATTTCTCTATTATTCTTACATTATTTTTTTTCTCTCTCTCTCTTTCTCGCTGTCTCTCTCTCTCTCTGTAATTCCATTCACCCGTGCCATCTCCGTGACTCTCGTACCGCACCTTAAGAACAAAGGTGCACGTGTGTGTGTGTAAGTTCTCGCGAGGAGCGGTGGTGGAGCGGTTAGCGCGCTGCAACCACGAACCCCGGGGGGCGCCCGAGTTCGATTCCCGCTCACGGCCAACACCGGTGACGAATATCTGCACCGGTCCTGGGCCTCACCTAAGTTGAATCAGCCTCAAATGAGTACCTGATGCGGTGTGTAGTCAACGTCGCCACCGGGGAGACAAAGGCGGCCGGGCGTGGTATTGGCCACCCACCCCATCGTGTGCCGTGCCAGCCTTCATAGGTGCTCGTTAACAGCACTTGCCCCTACAGCCTGTCACAGACTATCCGGGGCATCTTTGTCTTTGTAAGTTCTCGCACTGACCTCTGTGTAAACAGCGCACGGGGAGCCGGAGCACAGGCTTCAGCCGGGCGTGGCCCCCAGGAATGTGCACACGTGGAGTGGAAAGAAACGAGAACTCCGGAATCAAACGCAGAGAGACACCGTGGAGCCCGGTCCGAGCCCTGATGACCTCTTTGGGTGACCTACGGTGGGAGGAGCGGGGAGGGCAATTATGCTGATAGGTCAGCGCTCTGCACTATTCGGCTATAATTAAGCGTCAACCCCTCCCCGCCCGTACCTCTAAAGAAGACAACATTTTTGCAAACCAAGGTTACGATCTCATTCCAGCTGCCACCTCTTCCCCCGCAAGCCCGCCCCCGGCCACGGAAAACATTCGCACTTCACCAAACCCGCAATTGACCATCGTGGTGAAGTATGGCCAAGCAAAGCCCATAACCCACGCGGCGTGGGGAGGAGGTCTTTCATTTGTAGCAGTGGATTGGGAACGGTGCCATTTGTGTGTGTGCGTGTGTTTATTGTAAAAAACCCAGCTCAATAAATCATACTTTCGTGGATTTGTATGGCAGCCTTGTCGTCGCTATCGTTGGTTTATAGCTTGTGCTGGATGTGTTTGCCGTGGTGTCATCGTTGACACGATGTACGTGCAATGCATAGCGCACCGGTTCGATTCCATCTCCCGGGCAAGTTTCTTAAATTCCCCTCCCCCCGCACGTGACCCCCTCCTCCCCACCCCTTTGTCCACCCAGGAGAATAGCTTCGTACATCAAAAGCAGTTGATCGGTTTTACGAATCAAAGCGTGGCTACTCTCACCCCTTCCACGAAGTCCGCTCGGTGTTGGAAGAGTAGGCCAAGCACCCTCTAGACCAGGAGTCGGCAACCAAAATAACAACGTTGTCGAGTGCGGTAAAACAACTAAATGTCTCAAAAGCCGCAATGCACGTGAATACGAAACGGTGGCCCCTAAATTTCGCCACGAATGAATACTTCAAGAGCCGCCGGTTGACCAACCCTCCTGCTCTAAGATAGAGAGAGGATCTTGCGCAAGAGTCCCCCTCGCCGTGGAGGCCCTTCCGCGTGGCAGGTGTCTCGAGCGAGCGCATTGCGGGGCTGCACCTTCGCCTCCTTTTCGTCGCACCGAGTTGCTCCCTCTTGGACAAGGACGCGGAGCGACATTTGCGTGCCCCTCGCCCGCGCGCTCAGCTTTTAATTCGCAACGCAAACACCCAAATGAGCCGTGCGAAGAAACTCTCTCTCTGTCGCAAATCTCCGCGCTTGCAACCCCCATCCCCCCCTCCCCCCTCCGCCGCATTTCTAACCCGAGCTCGGACCCGGGCCGGGGTTTCGCTTCGTGCGGCACCGTCTGACCCCCCCACCCCCCACCGTGCGCTCCGTCGCCTCATCTGCTATCCCTCTTCCACGAGCGCGTCGTGGTCATAGTTGGAGCGGTTAGAGCGCTGAACACATCTTGAAATAAAACCCCAATGAAGCGACAGGAACATTCTGAAAAAGAGTCGTACGACTAAGTGCGGCTCTGCCGGACGGATAAACACGTGCATGGAGTTTAGTAGAAATGGATCAGGGTGATGATGAAATATTGCCATTAAAGGCCACCCCGCGGCACAAATGCCCTATGAGACGTCATTCATAAAGAGCATCAACCGAAGACTCAATGAGTCGTCAGCGTGCGTCTGTAAGTTGCAATGCCACCTGTGGCTCGGAGTGCCAGAGCGAGCGTCTTCAGAATGCCTGACGCTTCCCGTACCTCTCCCCCTACTCCTAGCCCCAGCTTTACCACTAACCCTACCCCTACCCTTTAACCATTACGCCTAATCCCACCCGACCCCCTATCTCTCACATCTCTGACTCGACTAAGATAACCTAATCTGAGCCCTATACCTACCTCTATCCCTAGCCCTAACCATTAAACACCTACCCACGTCTAAACTGCCCTTACCTCAAATCCCTACTCCCGCTGCTAGACCTACCTGTAGCCTGAGTCATACCTGCCTGCACCCCGATCCCCTAATCCCCCGATACTATAGGCGCTGACCAACCCAGCCCTAAAGCTGAACAATGCACAGACCCCACGTTTTCGCCTTAAATGGAAGTGGTTGGGGCTCAGAACGCGAGCCGCTCACGGCGAAGAGCGCATACATCATTCAGGAGAGGTAAGGGAACACCTGAGTGACCCCCTCCCTCTCTCTCTCTCTCGCCCCGCTCCCCTACCGCCTCCATCAATCACACACTCACACGCTCACCCACCAACCCCCCCTGGCCGCACGCCCCCGTGGGAGGAGGTGAAAGAGACGCACCACTCGCTGCTTCTCGGACCAATGGCAGGGCCCCTTCACGTGTCACTCGAGCGGTGTGTGGGGAGGGGTGGGGGGGCCCGACACGAGCGATTTGTGGCCACGCGCCGCTTATAAAAATGTTGCGCGCAAACTCTGGCCCCGCGGTTTTGCGTTTCTCGCTGAGCCACCCGCACACTCAACACTCACCCTCCACTCTGCTCACTCACCTCTCTCTCTATTCCCATTCAGAACCACCCGCCAGGTCAATCCACCACCATCACCTCCTCCTCCTCTTGCAGCTCACGCTCAACAAGCGGTCCCCGAATTTAATCGCACCCAGCCAAACACCAAATTGACCAATGGCTTCCACGAGGTCCACCACAGTGCGCAGCAGCTCCACCAGGATCAGCGTGGGCGGCAGCGGCGGTTCGCGAGGCTTCAGCAGCGCCTCGCTGTCCGCCGGGGGCCGCTCGGGAGGGCGCAAGAGCGGCCTCTCGTCCGCCAGCTACAGGAGTGGCGGTGGCGGCGGCTTCGGTGGCTTCTCGGCCTCATCGGCAGCGATGCTGAGCGGGCCGCCCCCGGAGATTGACCGCAGCGTCCTTCCCGTGCGCACCCAGGAGAAGGATCAGATCAAGGGCCTCAACGACCGCTTCGCCAACTTCATCGACAAGGTGAGCGGAGCGGGGTCGCAACGGGCGGGGCGCGTGCACGCCTCGCGTGATACCTGCACGTGCTGGGGATAGCACGGCACCTGTATATGATGGGGATACCACGGCACCTGTAAATGATGGGGATTGCACGGCACCTGTATATGATGGGGATAGCACGCCACCTGTATATGATGGGGATACCACGGCACCTGTAAATGATGGGGATTGCACGGCACCTGTATATGATGGGGATAGCACGCCACCTGTATATGATGGGATAGCACGGCACCTGTATATGATGGGGATAGCACGATATCTGTATATGATGGTGATAGCACGGCACCTGTATATGATGGGGATAGCACGATACCTGTAAATGATGGGGATAGCACGGCACCTGTATATGATGGGGATAGCACGGCACCTGTATATGATGGGGATAGCACGGCACCTGTAAATGATGGGGATTGCACGGCACCTGTATATGATGGGGATAGCACGCCACCTGTATATTATGGGATAGCACGGCACCTGTATATGATGGGGATAGCACGATATCTGTATATGATGGTGATAGCACGGCACCTGTATATGATGGGGATAGCACGATACCTGTAAATGATGGGGATAGCACGGCACCTGTATATGATGGGGATAGCACGGCACCTGTATATGATGGGGATAGCACGGCACCTGTAAATGATGGGGATAGCACGGCACCTGTATATGATGGGGATAGCATGATACCTGTATAATAGCATCCGTGTTCAAGAAGAGCTCCCTTCTGTGTCTCCACATCGGTGCCGCCATGGTTTTCCAGAACAATCTCATCCAGCGGCATTTATTTAAGCAAACTGGTTGCTGCTGAGTTAACATTGGCCTGGAAAGGCAAGAAGTAGTCCGATGGGACTGAAAACAAACTTCCTTGAAGAGCCATTGTCACTCCTTAACCTTGCAGATCATAGCGGAGACTCCGTTACTTCACGTCGCTTGGGGGACAATAAGAGACCCCTCTTGGAGTCTTAGTTGGGCTCTCACCTGCTTTGAGAATAGAGTCGACGCATCGATGAATGCGTTCGCAACACTGCGATGGTGATGACGATGATGATGACGTTGTCGTGGGTAACTTTGGGCACGTGGCCGTCCGTCGTGTCGTGGCGACATGAATTATAAATCAAGCAGCTGGTGTTCAACCAAGAGAGGCGTGGGGGTTGCGGGAGGGGCGGACAACAACAACAAAACTTGACCGCATGTTGGGCGCTTGACCGAGGGCGGCTAATTGTGGCGGCACGATTTAGGGGTCAGATTTTGTTGGTCTCGGAGTGGCCTCCCTCGCCCACATTTCAAGCGGAGAGGCACCACGTGCACAGACAGCACGGGGCTCGTTCTTTTATTCCAATAAAATTTGGACCGAGATTCCCAAAGCTGTCACCGTGGGGTGACCATTCGGTTTATCTCAGTTTTGCATCTGTTTGCCGAACGCGTGTAAGTAAAAAAAAAACGAACTCTGTATAACGTGTCTATTTCTAGAAGCCTTCTGTGTAACATTATTCATATTCGACTGAAGACCTGCCCCCCGCCACCACCACCCCCAGAATTGCAAAAAAATCGCTTTCATCTGCACCGATTGAACAATAGTATCAGTCGTGCTCTTCCCCACGTCTATTTTTGGTCGCAACACGCGCGCACGACGGAGCCCACAACGTTGGCTCCACCGACAACGAATTTGTCGTTGCGGTTAATTTCGTTTGACAGAAAGTCGCACCCCTTGAATTAAAGTATTAACCGCTGACTCCCATCTGGCAATCGACGATGCGTCGACCACGTGACTACGACGGGACGGACCACCCCGCGCTGCCCGCGTGTGCGCTGTTGCACATCGTGTCCAGCTGGTCGATTTTTTTTCCGCGTAGAATTTTTCTGTTCGTGCCACCGCGTTTGCCAATGACGCGCATTCGCGGTCGATAAGGACGATTTCGATTCCTCGTGAACTTTTCGCCAAGATCGACTGCGCCGTGCCAGTAATGGCATTGCCGACAGCGGCGGCGAGAGCGTGAGTGGGGTAGATAGGGTGGCGGCGGTGGCGGTGGTGGTGGTGTCGTCCGAATCGTTTGAAACACAGCCCACCACTTCCCCGGTAAAGCTGCTGCCCCCGTTGAACCCGCCGTAATGTCATCCATTACAACGAAAAAGACATCGGCGTTACATGAACGCTGTTACAAGGCAGCAGGTAGCCTTCAAACACCCGGTAGTACCTCCTCCTCCCAAGGTCTCACGCCAACAACTCGGCAATGTCACGCTGTTCAGTCTTTTCGGTAAAGTCACGTTGGTAAAAACAATTTAAATAAAATTAACAAAAGTAAAATAAAAATCACGACGTTTCGGAGGCAACACAAGCTTCCGTCTTCAGGTAAAACCGTCACAGCACGATAGCTGTATCAAACTATACCGAAAAAACCCAAGAATATGAATCCTTGCAGTCACGAAAGCTTCAAATCTAGAACTGTACACAGTCGTGACAACTCGGCTTTACCCTCAACCGGTAGGTATCAGCGAGTCTTCCAACTCGCCTGCGCGTAGTAACAGCTGTCTACGATGGCTCTGCAACTGCCGTCTATAATGCTGCTCCTGCTGCTGCTGTTGTTTCAGGTGCGCTTCTTGGAGCAGCAGAACAAGGTTCTGGAGGCGCAGTGGAGGGCTCTGCACGAGCGCGGGACGGTGGTGAGCGGCCTGGACGGGCTCTTCGATGCCTACATCAGGGGCCTCAAGCAGCAGCTGGAGAGCCTGTCCAACAACAAGCTGGGCCTGCAGAACGAGCTGCAGGCCATGCAAGGACACGTGGAGGACTTCAAGACCAAGTAAGGGCTCGCGGTCCTGCACACGCACACACGCGCGCGAGGTGGGAATTGACGTGACAAGCAAATATAGTGATAGGTTTTGACCCTTTCAACTGGTACAAAAACAGACACCTTTATACAATGCATCATGTTTGCAATAACCATTTTTGACTGTGGTTATTGCAAACATGATGCCTTGTATAAAGGTGTCAGTTTTTGTACCAGTTGAAAGGGTAAAAACCTATTACTATATTTTGCCACTGGTAAAGGAGGTCTCATAGTGGGACAAGCAAAGTTGACCTCGTGTGTGTGGTACCGGCGTTTCCATAAGCGTCATTCATTCGAAGAAAACTTGGTTGTAATAGAATATGAAAGTGCTCGATATGAAAAAAATTAAAAAATTATGTTACCCTACTCGTGCTTAGAATGCATCGTATATTGTGTCAAATAAGTTCACTGTAGGACACAGTGGGTAAGTTGTATTTATGGGCTATGAAGAAGGGGCATTGCACTAAACGTCGCCTTTTAAATAGTGGCATTGGCGAGTGTGCTGAGTGTTTTTTTGTACTGTTAACAGTGTTTGCGCACCACTGCCAACGCAGCGGCATCGCCAAGTAATCTGTTTAAGGACGAGTGCTAAGTCAATACGAGCCACGCGGGGCAAGTTCCGTTTGACCACAGTCAGTCACAGTAAAAAAAAAGTTACTCGACGAATTGAAATATAAGAACAGCGCGATTAGAAAAAGTCCCAGTTGATTCTCTGAACCTCTGGTGAGATGATAAAGCATCCTGTGCAAGCTTCCACGAGGCTAACAAAAAAACCTTCCCTACGAGAAGACGTTCCTCGGTATTTACTTTACGGGCAGGATATGAACGCAATTATTATAGTAAGAATTACTATAATTCTAAATGTGTCACGTTCACACGCACACCTGGACACTGAGCCATGCCTCTTCCCATGGCACTCACCTGTCTGCGTTTAGAGACATCAACCGAGGTGCGTAAGGCGAGATGCGGCCCACCTTGAGTAACCCAAGACGGGTGTTTGTTCAGCCCTGATCGTGAAAGCGAGAAGGGAGTGGCTCATACCAGACGGCGATCCCGCATGTTGATTCAGACGCTACTTGCATTTACTCAGCCTTGTACACTGTACAATTCTGCAAATCATCCCGGGAATAATTCACTGGTGAACGCTCGCCTCTCAAACGCCGCCGGCAGTCGCAGAGGTCGTCGATGACCATACTTCACCCAACGGTGAACAGTGGCGGGTTCGTGAGTGAGTGGGTTGTATGACAAGCGGGGCGTCCATGACCGGTTCAAATATGATTCGCCACTTAATTATAATTTGAGCCATGGTCCTGAAAATCCAAGTCGGACCGGCCCAGGTTCATAGCGTAGTGTGCTAACCACTGCGACACCACTCCCCGACACCTGTAAAGACCAGTGGTTCTTAACCGGGGATGCACGCACACCCTAGGGGTGCGAGATTCCCTTTCTGGGGGGTGCGAGACATGCCAGATATTTTTTTTAATATAAATAATCGAAAAAACTAATTAAGCACGGACACGTAAGTACAACATCTACGTCTTTATTAACATTTTTAACGATCGGGAACCAAAGGGGTGCAAGGCTGCAGTAAAGGTTGAGAACCACTGGTATAAACTGTATGTAACATTGCGACAAGGTACAGCAGCAGCAGCAAGTCTCCACTCTTGACAGGTCCAAAGATAGCAGGGAAAAAAATTAGGAATAGCAATCATTTCCAACAGGAAAGCCTCACTGAGTCTCGAGACTCTTCTCAAGAGGGTCCTGCATTGCGGGGAGGTAGGGGCGGAGAGGGTGGTGTTTGGCCAATCCTATTATCAAGTATTTATTTTGGCTTGTTGTGTGGGAGGAAACTGGAGAACCCGGAGCAAACCCAGCAGCTAAACGAGCGGATGACGCACAGAAGTATTGAATCCACTGCCAAACTTCTACCCCTTGGGGCACCTCGCAGTCGCCGGGGTGGGTGAGCCTCGTGCGGCAGGGCGTGGTTCTCAACACAAAGAAAAGTGTTGAGAACCATCTTCTTGGTTCTTTCGGTAAAGTCACGTAGAAGGGAAGTAATACAATAATAAAACATTATAAAATAATTCTCACGACGTTTCGGCCACAACGCAAGCAGCCGTCCTCAGGTGAAGACCAGGTCTGTCGGGGAGACACCCATTCAGACGCTGTCTCCCCGACAGACCTGGTCTTCGCCTGAGGACGGCTGCTTGCGTTGTGGCCGAAACATCGTGAGAATTATTTTATTATGTTTTATTATTTTATTACTTCCCTTCTACGTGATGACTTTATCGAAAGAACCAAGAAGATGAATCCCTACAATCACGAAAGCTTTAAATCGAAATTTAAGTCGTGATAATTATTTTATTATTTTTATTATTTTATTACTTCCCTTCTACGTGACTTTACCGAAAGAATAAAGAAGATGAATCCCTGCAGTCACGAAAGCTTTAAATCGAAATGTTGAGAACCACTTCTGTGCTGTGGGGCAAGTGCAGCACCACGGCCGGCCGCCTTTGTCTCTTGAGCGATGGTGTTTGCACACCGCACCGGGAACTTTTGAAGTCTGACCACAATACCCCTCCCCCCCCGCCCACATCCGACGCACACAATGAATCCCTTAATTATTTATATCCAATTACAATCAACAGCTGTGTATGCTATTAAAGCTACGCCGGGCGGACGCATGATGCGTTTAACCTTCGCTGACTAAACCTTGTTAATGCACGGTTAAATGCATTGCAAATGTTGTAATTGCATTGTGAATGTATGCACACCGCCGTGGAGGGCACGTGCGGGAAAAGAGCGCACACATCTGGTGTACGCTACTATACACCTTCGTCAATGTGATTATAACCCTTCAACCCGCACTGAAGGACGCTGTCTTTCCGACAGCTCTGTTCTTCACCTGCGGACGGCTGCTTGCGTTGTGGCCGAAACGTCGTGAGAATTTGTATTATATTTCATTTTTATTATTTTATTATTTCCCTTCTACGTGACGTTACCGAAAGCACCAAGATTAAGGCGCACGCATTAAAGCACCACCACCACCACCCGCCTCCTCTCTCTCTCTCACCCTACCCTCCCACAATCGGTGCCGAGTGATGAGACGCATCCACGCACAGCGGGTCGCATTCTTCGAGCGCTTACGTTGCGAGTCGTGACGATCGGCGAGTGTTTATGCGGGACGCCCCCCACGCTTGCCAACACGAGCGTTACCCCCCCCCCCCGCACCTACGATCAGCACGGCTGGCTCCGTGCGGCGCGGGTGAAGTTCAACAGCAACGCGTGGGCATAGCGCGCCGCGCTACGAACCCGGCGAGCCGAGCTCGATTTCCCGATCACGGCCTACCCTAGGTCGACTCAGCCTCAAATGAGTATCCTGGTGCTGGTGTGTAAACATCGCCACTGGGGAGACAAAGGCGGTCCGGCGTGGTGCTGGCCATCCACCCCCTCGTGTACCGTTCCGGCTTTCGTAGGTGCTCGCTAACAGCACTTGCCCCTACAGCCTGTAAAGGCTATACGGGGGATCTTTGTCTTTGTTGTTTTTTGTTAGTGTGAGTGTCATAGGTGTTACTCTCGCAGACAGCACTTGCCCCAACAGTCTATTCAATGCTTTTTGGGGGGGTGGGGGTGTAGGTGGCGGGATATTTGTCTTTTGTCATACATCTGGGCCCGTCCCGTGACCTCCTTCCAAGCGAGCGCTTCGAGACACTTCAAAGTGCACCTCCCCTGGCACTGTCATGAACCGCCGCTGAAGTGGCGAGTCGCACCTTGTTGCTGGTGACGTGGAGCGGGGGAGGGAGGGTTGGTGGGTTGCTCAGCGTTTCCATCGCCCAATGTCTCCGTCGTAGGTTCCATCGCCTAATTTGTCCATCGTCGTTTCTATTTGCCCATTGTGTCCGTCGCAGATACGAGGAGGAAATCAACACTCGCACTGAGCGGGAGAACGAGTTCGTGGTCGTCAAGAAGGTGAGTTGCACCGGGCTGCTCTCGGCCGAGCCTCTGTCGCACTCCCCATGTTCTTCCATTTAAGCTTTCGTGACTGCAGGGATTCATCTTCTTGGTTCTTTCGGTAAAGTCACGTAGAAGGGAAATAATAAAATAATAAAAATAAAACATAATAAATTAATTGTCACAGAGAGAGAATGTGAGAATTATTTTATTATGTTTTTTTTTCCCTTCTACGTGACTTTACCGAAAGAACCAAGAAGATGAATCCCCATGTTCTGTCTGCAGGTACATTCATGTATGCACAGTTGGCGGGGTAGGGGGGTAGGGGGTAGGGTAGGGGGGGGGCACAGGCGGGCGCATCTGCCGGTCAGTCTTAGTCAGTCAACTCATGATGGCACCTGGCGCATGTCCCGTGGACCTCCCTGTCAGCGAGCCCTCGACACTTTCACGTGGTAGCCTCAAAGTGCACCTTGCCTGGCACAGGCGCCGTGGTGACGTCGCCGTCACTTAGTGGCGGAATGGTGGGCATTGGTATCGGTCTTCACGGCACATTCCGAGAAAAAAAATTGCAGCTCTGCACCGTTACCTTATTTAAATATTTATTTAATGTGCCATGGCTAAATCCCTCTGAACGTGCCCGGTTGTCGTCAGAAGCCAAGTAGGTTTTGATCCCGGCTGGTGCTTTAATGGGCTGCGAGGCGTGGCAAAGGAAGATCGGCGGTGCTGAGTGTCACCCCCTCGTGCCCAGGGTGGTTGCTGGGTTTTCTCCACGTGTTCTCCACTCTCTCGCCCCCCGCCCCCCCCCCCCACGAAGCCGAACGACTAATGACATTCAGTTTGGCCAAACAGCCCAATGTAGCACGATGTCCTCCTTGAAATAGTACTTGAGACTCAGGCGTCCCTGGGTAAACAAAGGGCATTACTTGGTGAGATAACACAACAATAGTTATCGTTTAGTTTCGTTCGTATATATTTTTGAAGTGATTTGTTCACTTTTCCCATTCTTCGCACTCCTATCGTGCTTTTGTTTTTGTTGTTGGAACAGTTCTGACCTGCCCCTACTGGACATCTGTAAAAAAGAGCTTTACAGCTCATGGGATTCCCCCAGTAAAAACAAATATTCATAACGATCTTTATTACCACAGAGCCCTAAATGCTATCTCGTTCATCCATCCCTCCCATCCTCCATGCCAGGCAATCTATCACCCTGGCCTTGCCCGGACTCACCTCCCACACGACGGCCTGCACTTAACCACAAACATAACGCAGTAGGGATTGGAATTCGGCGCACTGCTCAGTGTTAACCGCCTGTCGCTTTGCTACGTGGGACGTTTGGCGCTTTGATCGTGGACACGCATCGACCACACGGGGGGGGCGGCAATGGCACAGAAAGTTAAAGGAAATTTGCGTTCACATTTTATTCGGAGTATTTGGAATGCTTTAAATTTCCACATGATAGGCAAATTCGTTGAGCCATCATTTGTGGCCAGGTCGCTTCTGAAGAAGAAGCTAATAGCTCAGTGGGCTTTACCTAGTAAAATACAATTTTAGTTTTATTTGTAGATATATATTTTTTGTGATTTGCTTACGTTTCCTCTACTTTTCACTCCTATCGTGTTTTTTGTATTGTTTGTTGTAACGTTCTGACCCGCCCCGACTGGACATGTGAAGAAGCGCTTTACAGCTCACCGAATTCCTCAAGTATTAAAAAAAATTGTGATTCTGATAACGGGTTTTTTTTTCCTGCACAGATTAACGAGAACACGCCGCAAAAAAATACGTGGCTTACACGAGCATTTCTCAGGGTGGGGGTCGCAGGGTAAAAACGACTAAACCACCCACCTTGTGCCGAAGTAGCGTCTTTGGCATGGGCCGCAGCCCAATGAATGGAATGAGGGCCCCTGTCCAATTCTGCCACCCCCCCACCCACCGCGCCCTCCCCGCCCTCTGCATTGCCTGGCGACTGGGAATCCCCTCCCACCCATTGCACCGCCTGCACTCTGGGTAGCTCCGACAATGGCTCAGATTCTCGCCGTTATTTTTTTGTGGGGCGCAGCTCGGCTGGAGCAGGTGGCTCGTGACCGCAGCGGTCAGTGGGAGTAGTCTTAGTATTAGTAGAAAAAGCCACGGCGAGAGGTACTAAGATGTGCTCACCGCACCATGACTGACCCGGCTGGAATCAAGCCCCCGGTGAAAACCACAGCTCCCACCGGTCAATGCCGAACTGTTGCCGTTCCTAACGACACACACAGCCACGTGTAAAGAACGCACAACAACAAAAACAACAACAAAAATCCATCAACAGTTCCTAGAAACTGCATTGTGGTCTAGTAGTAGGTTTTTACCCTTGTAAACTGGTACAAAACTGACACCTTTATTCAAGGCATCATGTTTGCAATAACCACAACACAAGTAGTAAACAAACATGATGCCTTGAATAAAGGTGTCAGTTTTATACCAGTTTAAAAGGGTAAAAACCTACTACTATATTTTGCCACTGGTAAAAGAGATCTCATAGTGCATTGTGGTCCTCTTGTCTGAGGACACAATCAGCATACGTTTGAATGAGAGTAGCCCACTGACAGGCAGCAGCGATACAGACGCGGATAACTGCAGACCGGTTTCGTCCTCATTAAGACTCATCGGCACAGTACAGTCACGAGTGCTCACTGCTGCAAAGTCCGCCTCTGGAAACCATGCGTGTGGAGTCCCCACTGACACACTGTGGGCTTCGTGTCCTTTGGTTCTTTCGGTAAAGTCACGTGTTCGTGTTGGCTGCTGCCGCTGCTGCTCTTGGTCGGTGGGGAGAGTCTAACCGAGGCTTGGTCTTCGATGGGGGTGGGTAGGATGTGGACGACGCATTCCTCAACAAGGTGGAGCTGGAGGCGAAGCTGGAGGCTCTGCAGGACGAGATCGAATTCCTCAAGAAGATCTTCTCAGAGGTCAGTGGCATTTGACCTCCGCGAGTGGGAGTGTGTGCGCGTGTCGGTGTACGTGGTTCAGTGAGTCAGCGAGCGAGATAGTGAGCGAGTGAGCGAGCACTTAAGTGGGTGGGCGAGTGAATCGGTGAGTGAGCAAACGGGTCAAAGAGTGAGAGAGTCAATGAGCCATTGGGGCGAACCAGTGGGTGAGTGAGCGTGTAAGCGTGTGACAAACGGGTGATAGAGTGACTGAGCGAGCGAGTCATTGAGTCCGTGAGCGGTTAAGCGGGGGAGCGAATGTGCCAGTGAGCAGTGCCGGATTATCCTAGTAGCAAAAGTAGCTACATAAGCTACGGGCCCCACACTTTCAAGGGCCCCGCGCTAAATGCTTTCAAACTCTCAATTCCGGTTCAGTGATTCTCCACTTGCTCTATTACTATAGTACTATACTGCCTTCAACTTTTATAAACGACTGGGTGTTTAAAGTTAGCGATTTGTGTATTATCTGGCTGTATAGAAAATGAAAAAATACAATTACTTTCCTATCCAAGTTAAAATAATAAGTGTTTAAATATTTATTTACGTTTTTACTTTTAGGGCCCCCTTATAACAATTGCCACAGGCCCCGCACTAGCTTAATCCGGCACTGCCAGTGAGTGAGTGGGAGTAAGAAAGAAAGAAGAGTCGTCGATTCGGTGAGCTAAGAGAGACATCGAGCAGGCATGCGCTCGCGCACGAACGCGTACACCGGATCAGGGCAATGAGAGTTGGTGAGTGAGCCGTGACCACGTGACCACAGTGGGTCCCGAGCAGGGATTAAATGAAATCGCTCCAACTGGTCAAACGAGATTTTTTGCTTTGAGCCGATTTTAAACACTCTTCGAGAGAAGCAGAAATCGTACAATAGACGTGGTAAATATATATATATAAAACGAGACAAATACATCCATTTCGAAATATAATCCACGCTGCACCCTCAATCTCGTGTGTGTGTGTGGGCGGGAGTGCATTGTTACCTGCCTGATGGACACTATTGAGGAATGGGGCGCGTGTGAGGTCCCCTGCATGCTTTTGGGATTTTCTTTATTGTCCTTCCCCGCACCTCCGACACGCAAGGTTGGCTACGTACGGCGCGAAAGAAGTTCAACATCCGTACATGCATAATACATACGCGAGGCTAGTGCTGGTTTAAACCCCAGCTCAACAACGACTACACTCGCAAGGTACGTGACCCGAACTCGTAAGTCGACAGGATCAGACTCCTCGTCTCCCGTGCGAGAAGCGAATTCCACAATTGACGTCACCCATCGATAGCAGAACCCGAATCCGTACCGACGTGACGGGGGGGGGAGGCTTTCACGCGCTTGACATTACGACGAATGAATGCGTTTCGCACGCGAGTACACGTGGAGGAAAAGCTGCACCATGTCTCCTGCGTCCAAATCACACGTCCGGGAAAGAGGTTGCCGATGCTCTCGGGAAGCCCCGCTCCCAAAAGCTGCCAGCGATGATCGTGGGGGGCAGCGGTGGGGGGGGGGTTCTTTGTCCGCACCGCTTTAAACACTCCCTGGCGTCGTCGTGCTCCACCGACGCGAAAGGGGCAACGGACGGAGCCACCTGAATGGTGAGACATCGGGTGCCACGCCACCAACTCCACCGCCTGGTTGAGCGTCCCAAACGCGCGATCTTTAAATCTCGCACAAAGCGCACACAGAGACAAAGATTCACCCCCCTGCGTAGCCTGAGCCGACTTGACTGCGAAGTCCGTGCACGGCGCACGAGGGGTACACACACGCACGTGCACCTGTTGACTCCGTGCTCGTTGTTTGTTTGTTTGTTGTTTGTTGTTGTGACGGAGCAGGAGCTGCGCCAGCTGGAGTCGCAGATCCAGGACACGATCCTGACGGTGGAGATCGACACGAGCCGCAACCTGGACGTGGATGGCCTCATCGCCGACGTGCGCGCCCAGTACGAGGCCATCGCCGCCAAGAGCAAGGCCGAGTCGGACGCCTTCTACAGGAGCAAGGCACGCGGCTAGCGCACACCGCGCCCCCCTCGCTCGCTCGCTCGCTCCCTGCAGGCAGGCAGCGCAGCAGCAAGCAACAGCAAGCAACAGCTAGCCAGCAGTAGCAGTAAGAGCAGCATCGACAGCAGCACCAGTAGTAGAAACAGCAGCACCAGCAGTAGAAACAGAAGCACTCGTTACAACAGCCAACAGCAGCAGCAGCAGTGGCAGCAGCAGCAACAGCAAAAATAGCTGCAACAGCAGTAGCAGCAGTAGCAGCAACAGCAAAAATAGCTGCAACAGCAGCACTTACAGCAGCAGTAGCAGCAACAGCAAAATATCTGCAGCAGCAACAGCAAAAATAGCTGCAACAGCAACACTTGCAGCAGTAGCAGCAACAGCAAAAATATCTGCAGCAGTAGCAGCAACAGCCAACAGCAGTAACAGCAGCAGCAGTGGCGGCGGCAGCAACAGCAAAAATAGCTGCAACAGCAGCAGTAGCAGCAGTAGCAGCAACAAAGAAGCAACTTCGCGAGCATGATCTGTGACATTGCCTGATCATGTTTATTATTGTGTAGTGAGTCGTAAGCAGAGGGTAACAGGAAGGCTTTGAGCTTCGGCATCGGGGCAGGGAGCCGGCAGCACAGATGGCTGGATGGAAGGAAGTTCCTGGCTATGGTTGGCAGCAGACGACATTCGTTTTTGTGTATTTTTGGTTGTTGAAATTTTCTGACCCGCCCCGGCTGGAAATCCGTGAAAAAGGGCTTCATAGCTCATCGGATTTTTCCAGGATATTTGGAAGCCACTGGAGCTATGCACTTTAAAATCGAGACTGATAACGCATTTATTTACTTCTTTTTGTGTTTAGTTCATTGTCCTTCTCCCGCACCTCTCATTAGCATGATTGGCTACGTACAATGCGAAAGAAGTTCAACAAACATACAAATATTCTGATTCTGACATCAGCCCGCGCCCAGGTGCTCGATGGGTTGTTGCATTGCAGGACGGTGGGAGATGATGACGCCCGAGTGAGGCTTACAATCATGGCTTCCAATGATGATGATGATCGTGTCTAAATTTGCACACTCATCTCAAAATAATGTGTGTATCACAACCGTATGGGAAGCGGTAGTGCAGCGGTGAGCGCGCTGCACTGCAAACCCAGTGACCCGAGTTCAACTCCTGCTCACGGCCAACACTGGTGACGATTATCTGAACCGGCCCTGGGCCTCCCCTAGGTCGACTCCGCTTCAAATGAGTACCTCGTGCAGTGTGTAAACATCGCCACTAGGGAGACAAAGGCGGCCGGGCGTGGTGCTCACCACTCATCCCCTTCGTGTGCCGTGGCGGCCTTCATAGGTGCCACTCGCCAACGTCACAAGCTTAATTCTATAATTTGAACTTTTCGTGACTGCAAGGGTCCATACTCTTTGGGTTTTTTTCGAGACTTTACCGAAAAAACGTCACAACTCTTAACGCTCGTTCGTTTGTAACCACGCGTCTCGCCCCGGCCCGCCTCCTCTCCGCCGCCGTAGTTTGCCGACCTGAACGCGATGTCCGGCAAGGGCGACGACGACCTCCGCCAGAGCAGGAGCGAGATCGCCGACATCAACCGGCAGGTCCAGCGCATCAAGGCCGAGATCGAGGCCCTCAAGAAGCAGGTGCGTGTCGCGACGGAGCACTGGCCGCACTCCGGCGTTGCCCGCAGACGGCCGCCTCTCTCCGCCACCCCGGGTTGCACCGCGGCGTTGTTCGGTGTCCGACGTTTAAAGCCCTGCACGTGGCTGGGAAGGTTGTTCGCGGACCGCGGACTCGAATTGGGTTACCGGCGGAGCTCCCGGCACGTGGACGAAATTGCCGGGGTGCCGTGTCGCAGGACGCGCCGCGGCGCAACCCAAAAACAAGTCGGGCAGCTGTGTGGTTCTTTCTGGATTCACACCGGCTGATAGATTGTAAATGTTGTGGCTTTGCTCTCCAACACACCGGTGTGCTGTACTAGTAAAGAATTGGCACGTTCTGTTTACGTGACAAACCTAACTAATTGGCTGTGTCGGGTGGTGGTGGGTTTAACGACACATTTACATATTTAAGCGATCTAACCCAAAAAAACCTGCATTATGGAGATATATATGTATACAATAATTTATACCTATTATTACTCAATACGCCCAATGTTATCGCAGCTCAGAAGTTAAGCAGGCTTGAGCCTGGGATGGGTGAACACCAGGGCTTGCTAGTAGTGCTGAGGGTGACCTCTTCGTATGTGTGGCGGGTTTTCTCCAGATTCTCTGGTTTTCCTTCGACATTAAGCTGCATAAATGATGTTGACCAAACGTGTCAATCCGGGACCCGCCAGATAAAAAAACACATATTCATAAAAAAATTATATAAACTACTTAACTAACTAAACTAAACTTCTTATTTCACCAGGTATGGCCCACTGAGCTACATAGCTAGTTCTCAGAAGTGACCTCGCCACAATTGATAGCCCAACGAAGTGGCTTATCACATGGAAATGTATAGCAGCCAAATACTCGTAAGTGCATGTTGATTCTAAATGTGGAGGGGAAAAACCGGAGGGCTCGGAGAAAAATCCACGCGACCACGGGGAGAGAGACACGCAAACTCAAAATATGCAGGCGTCAGGGTCGGGATCGAACCCACGACCTCCCGTATACCAGGCGAGGCAACTGACATCTCGCCACCGTCTATATTCTTGAGACTCAGCGAGGCATTCCCGGGTTAATACATTCAAAGTAAACAGTTTCGTTCGCGTTTAGGAATCGTTTGTGCTGCCGGCCCACCCAGTAGGCGACACTCGTCGCACTTTGAAAGCCAAACTAACGACGGGCGATGATGCCCTCTTGGCGCGTTTCGTCGACGCAGCGCGCCCAGCTGGAGGCGGCCATCGCCGAGGCGGAGGGCCGCGGGGAGCTTGCCATCAAGGAGGCCAAGGAGAGCATCGCCCGCCTGGAGGAAGAGCTGCACCAGGCCAAGCAGGACATGGCCAAGCACGTGCGCGAGTACCAGGAGCTCATGAACGTCAAGCTGGCTCTGGACATCGAGATCGCCACCTACCGCAAACTGCTGGAGGGAGAGGAGTCCAGGTGCGTGCGTGCGTTGTCTGTGCGTGTGCGTTGTCTGTGCGCGTGCGTTGTCTGTGCGCGTGCGTTGTCTGTGCATGTGCGTTGTCTGTGCGCGTGCGTTGTCTGTGCGCGTGCGTTGTCTGTGCGCGTGCGTTGTCTGTGCACGTGAGTTGTCTGTGCGTATGCGTTGTCTGTGCGCGTGCGTTGTCTGTGCGCGTGCGTTGTCTGTGCACGTGAGTTGTCTGTGCGTATGCGTTGTCTGTGCGTGTGCGTTGTCTGTGTGCGTGCGGCTTAAGGCGGCCGGGCGTGGTGCTGGCCACCCACCCCCTCGTGTGCCGTGCCGGCTTTCAAAAAGTCTGTTAAAGGCTATACGGGGAACCTTTTATATTTGTGGGTTTTCTAGATCCCATGATGGGAACTTCTGTGCCTGCCTACGATCCATTCTGGGTTTCACCAGACTTGATTGTGCGAGGAGCAAACAGTTCCTTAATAGATCTGGACACAGTCCCATCGGTGAGGTCATTCGGCAGGCGAGGCTACGTCTGTCTGGGTTATGTAGCCCGCATGACCACCAACTGCATGCCCAAGCAGCATTTGCTTGGCGGGATAGAGGGGCTGAACGAGTGCAGAATGGGCTCCAAATATACAGCAGGCGTCAGGGTTGGGATCGAACACACGACCTCCTGCATACCAGGCGAGGTGTAACAATATAACAATAGGTTTTACCCTTTCTGGATATAAAACCGGTTCTGTATTTTGTTTACCTCTGGCTGCAATAAGCCCTCGCCCCTGCAGCACTAGGCTAAACTGGGCAGATAAAAACAATAAACCAAACACGACTACTGTTGGCCAAACATGCCAGTGCTGAAACTTGACCTGCAAATGACTCACTTGGGATCACACACAGTGGCGGCAGCAGCAGCAACATCGCCCTCCAACTCCAAAAACACATTGCACGGCCATCATGAAAAAGACTCGCGAATGACCAAGGCTCTCCGGGACAAACAGGCTTAATATTACATCATAAGCAATGTGTGTGCACGTGTGTGTGTGTGCTGGTGTTTTCCACAGGCTGCAGAATGTGACTGCTGGGATGGCCAACCTGGGCGGCATGGGAGGATATGGAGGCTACAGTGTCTCAAGTAAGCCACAGACACCCCCCCGACCCCTCCCCTCCACCCCTCCTTCATACACCTTCATAAACTTACACTGCGCAGCGATACACAAATGTAAGGTAAATATCTCTACATTTCCCTTTGGATGTCCAGTACATAGAGGGCAAAGGTAACTGCATCTCAAACGCAGCGATCCGACGCGTTTTCAGGTCGTCGTTGGGCAACGATGTCCGACGTTTCGCTCCACACCCTGGAGGAGCTTATTTTTATGGACTCAGTTCATCTTGTCCAGCTCCTCCAGGAGCCGAATTCGATTCCTGCCAGAGGGCTCCCCGGCGTGCCGAGCGAAACGTCGGACATGCCCAAGCAACAGGCAGTGCAAAGGGGAAAAAATGCATCCGCGAGTTGCATGTCACAACCGCGGAAACCCGGCGCTCGCTGCAGTTAAAACAAAACTAACGCAGGACACAAACCAAACGAGAATGGAGAGATGTTTTGTTGAAGGCAAGTTGAGATATAGCATCTCAACGCGTGCTGCGTCTCTCTGTGCTGAACAGAATCGGTGGCAAACCATCCATGTGATTGCAGCAACGATCAAAGCATGCACTGGGGCTGAAGAGGACACGAGCGATTGGCTGTCTTGCTCACAATTGTTTTTTTTGCGTTAGCCTGCTACTTATAGATCCGACCAAATTTGTGCGGTCAATATCCTCCACCACCCGACGCAGCCAAACAATTTAAATATAATTGTCGCGTGGTGCCGTTTGTTCGTGCTTGGGCTCGCTCACCCATCAACGGTGGGTTCAAGAGCGATGCACGCAGCCAAATCTCGGAGTTAAAATACGCGATGTTTGGCTTGAAACTACGGCAAGCATCATCAAGACACGATCCAGGAATATCGACACGCATCTGGTCAGATCAGTACCGTGGCCTAAAACACAACAAAGAGAAAGATTCCCCGTATAGCCTGTACAGACTGTTGGGGCAAGTGCTGTTAGCGAGTAGCACCTATGAAGGCCGGCATGGCACACGAGGAGGTGGGTGGCCATAAACATGCCCAGCCGCCTTTGTCTCCCCAGTGAAGATGTTCACTACACACCGCAGGTAATTATTTGAGGCCGAGTCGACCTAAGGGAGGACCACGATCGGTTCAGATAATCGTCACCGCTGTTGATTATGAGCGGCAATCGAACTCCGGCTGCCGGGTTAATAGCGCAATGCGCTAACCGCTTACACTACCGCCTAAAACACACACACACACACAAATCAATCACCAATCATAATGCCGTCTTGCGCAAAAACCCTTACCTGTGGTCTTGCGTGCCTTGTGTCTCCGACGCGCACGCACACAGCTTCCTACGAGACGTCCAGCAAGAGAAGCTACTAATGCAGAGCCGCTCCCAACATCGCTCAACCCACCCCGAGGGCCAGCACGTGACATTGTGGCCCGCAGCCCAGGGCGGCTCGGTTCGGCAGTGTGCATTCTAACGACGCGCTCACGTCCCCTTTTCCCACGTGTCACTCGAAACCCCGGTGGGTCAGTGGTTCCCTACCTGGACCGACTGTCCACGGAACTGCCGCAGGTAAAAATGATCCGGTGCTGGTGCGGCTGCGTTGGCAGTGGTGCATGAGCACAGCTAACAACAGCAGCAGCAGCTCAATGCATTCGTCAATAACACCACCGTGGCCTTAAAAATAAATATATGATAGGCGACGCTTCGGATAATGGCCATTATTGTGCCCTGAAGGGCCGTTGCCCGAAACGTCGCTAATTATATCTTTTTTTGCTTGAGGTTTTATTTTTGCTGGCAGATACAATTTTGAGTCCCTTTGAATAAAAACAGAACAGGTGTGGAACCACTGCGTTAGACGAAGTAGTTTTTTTTTTTTTGCCGTGTCCTGAAACGTATAAGTTGGTTTTTTTTCTAAATTGTTTTGCGCGTCCAATAGAATGTGCACTGGCGACCCGCGGCTTCCCCTCCCCCTCTGGCTGTCTGGTGTGATTCGCAAATTGGCTCTAAAAAGTGAATCGGCGCTTGAGTGTGTGGGTCTCTTCGGAGGTGGGTGGAAGTTCGCTTTGGTTTGGACACTGGCATCTGTAGGTCGTTTTAGTCCCGGATTTAAAGGAAAGAAAGAAAATAAATACGGTGGTGTCGGCGGTGGGGAGGGAGGGGTTGTGGGCGAGCCTTTTAGTAATAGCCAGAATGATGCAATGGCCGGTATAGCTGTCAAAAGTGGTCGTATTTTGTTGCGGGAGGTGCTGCTCACCCCAGCCTGTCGTCCCGCGGGCGCACTTAGGGGGGGGGACGGGATCTGACATATATAACGACTTGCTGAGCACCAACACAGGAGCGCCCCGTGAGAGAGAAGGTAACCGTCAGATCATCCGTCAGCTCGCGGTTGAACGCCATTATTGACCTCTCCCGTCTAACGCAGCAAGCGTGCAACGGGGCCCTTCGTACTGCGGTGGTCCGCTTGACCGTGCATCGCCCGCGCCGGCTCGGTGTCGGGTTGGCGAGGGCGCGGGAGCGTAGAAGTACGGCACAACAACGGAAAAAGCCACGCTTGCGACGCTCGACGATTATTCGGGAAGCGCGGGCAGCGTACGGTGGCACTTCGCACGCGCGCGGGGCTGGCGGTGTGTCGGTGAGGTCACGTTGACAGCTAAGCGGTCCGCAGAATGCATTGCGAGTGGGTTGATTGGACGCACTGGAGCAGCAGCAGCACGAGCAGTGGATGTCACAGGTGGCTTTGGTCAGTGCCCATGCATTGTCGTCATGGCAGGGGTTAACCTCTCTTATACGTACTCACGTGTACCGGAAATAATAAAAGCAGCTTCGTGAATTCCCACCGCGGCGCCTGCGTCCGTCTCCGTTGATGATGAATGCGCGCGCGAGAAAGTCGACCCGTGCACACTCACCGTACGTTCGGGCGATAGTTGCTCGGGTGATGTGTGTGTCCCGCCTTATGTTGGCGCACTGAGCGTGTGGCATTACACACTCGATGGTAACACATTACAAGCCGTGGTGTCTATTTTCTTCAACACACTGCGCTTGCAATTCTACACAGGCTTGTGTAATTATGAGGTTGCCGATTTAACTCCATCCAACCGATGCATCTGTCTTCAACCCCTCCCGGCTTTGTCGACCCAGCAGCATGAAGAGGTTCAGCGCAGGCCGGCAGTCCGTTGGCAGGTCCCGTGTGTTGGGGTACAGCGTGGGTGCTCGAAGACGTCTGGTCTGCTTGTAAAAGTAGCAACAACTTCCCTCCTGGAGGGGCTCTCTCCAGAGCTCCCTCTAGCGCAGTGTTCTTCACTCATTTTCGGAATGGTAGGGGGAGAGGCACTTTCGCCGATAAGACATCGTCAGTGTGAGGGCCGCCACACATTTGAAACCATTGGGGTTTGACAGCACGACGACGACGATGATGATGGGTGTTTACACGTGTCGTTGTGTATTGTCGGGGGCCGCACTAAAGGCCACCAGGCGCCATCAGTGGCCCGAGGGCCATGTAATGGCCCTTCCAGCAGCAGTGGCCGCGTATTTTTTTACACAAAATTCCACACCTTGCGGAAAACTTCACTTCCGTAACAGCAATGCATCCAGCGATTACGATATGCAACGCTTGCTTCGTTTATTATTTTCAATACGTTCCGATAACATTTTTGTTTTAAGCGTAAAGCTTATTATTATTTTTTAACCGTGTAAAGTGCACAAGACGCTCGGGAAAAAAAAATCCAGGAAACGAATCGTAATTTTATCGAACCAAGAAAATCCTCACTTGAGACCCAAGGCTCCTTTGCAGGAGTTTCCTCCATTTGGTGGTTTGCCCGATTGCTGCTGAGCAGCGTGTTGCGTGAGCCGGGGCCGGCAACCCAAATAACAAGAAGCGCCGCTTTTTTATTGTTCGAATTCGGTGAAACAAAAAAAAAACCTCCTACAACATTTCAAGAGCCCGCAATGCACTGTGGTGAATTCGAGACGGCGGTCCCTTGGTGAAAATCGTCGTGAAGCAGTCCCTCAAAGAGGCCGAACGACACTCCAGAACCGCAGGTTGCCCGACCCCCTGCGCGCGTGGTTAATAAAAGCGATCCTGAGTCTCGATTTGACTTTGCTCAAACAGGTGGCGAGCACTGCCGAGACCAGGAGAGAGTCTCCTGTGTAGCAAGAGTGACCGGAATCACCAAAATTACCAAATGAACGCCTGGGAAAAGCAATAGAAAAGAGAAACCCCATTCCAATGCAATAGGAAATACTCAAACTCCACATGTGGCATGCCATGCCATTCTATAACCGACGGCATAGTTTTCGCAATACAGTAACACCACCTGCGCCAAATCCCACGTGGTGATGTACCTATGGGCAATAACGTTACACCACGTGGCTAATGTCAACGACCCACAGACTCACATCGCCTCGTTCACCCTCTTCCCTCAATAACCATCGGGCAACCGATGCTGACAAATGCGCAGATAACTGAAACGCCTTGCAAGATTACCGCGAGTTAAATGCACACATAGCGTGCGGGCAATTCTGCACACTTTTGCTTGTACAATGCACGCATTAATACCCATATCCATATGATGTGCAGATGTGTGTGTGTGTGACCGTATTGAATGCAGGAGTCCAGCCAAGATTTCTCACTGCACACATGCAAACCTCTCCGTCAGTATTCTGTCAAGAAAAACAATGAATTTATTGTAAGGATTATATCCCGTGACCAAATAACTCAGAGTGCGCCCTATCTCGTCAGATCTCAACATCAAAAGGCGTGTGTGTACTGCAGACTACACACTGGCTGTTATGGCAACCGCTCTGAGTGAACACCTGTGAAGGCTGGAACGACAGACCTTTTCTATAGCGGGTGGTGTGGCTAGAACCATGTCTAGCCAGTGGTGATGTTGACACACAGCGCCCGGTACTCATTTAAGGCTGAGTCGACCTAGGGGGGCGCCTCAGCACGGGTTTAACATCATCAGTGTCGATGCTGACAATGGCTGGGAATCGAACGCACATCGCTGGATTCGTAGCAGAGTTCGCTAACCACTGGGGCACCGCTCCCCTTACACACCGCACAATGCACGCACGCAGACACACTCTACACACACTATACACTGCAGGCAACCACACATTGCAAAGCTGCACGATGAATTATTGAACAAATACATTAGCGATTAACCAACGGTGACATCTGCAAGTCATGTTCCCTTTGCTGCAGTGGCCAGCAGCTGCAGCGACTGGGTTAAACTTTTGATCAGCAATCTCACATTAGGATATGGGCTCCCTAGGTAGAGTAATTCGATATTTCACACCTTTTTACCCCGTATAGACAAAAGCACGTAATCTCGAATTACCAATGTCAGCCAAACCTGCTTTTGTGTCAACTTTACCGCACACAAAAACCAGGACCGGATCCCCATTGAGCCACCTTCATCCGGATTCTGGATTGCCCAACCACACCCAGGGGGATGGGAGGGTGGGGGCCTCACCTGAGACGTGGCTCCCATTCACAGAGCCCGCGGCAACGCTGAGGACAGGTGCGGGATCAGCCCAGTCACTTCTGTCCTTCGAATAAAACAACGCAGCACATCGACATCATCACGATCGTCATCATCACGATCGTCATCATCATCATCATCACTGTCATCATCACTGTCATCATCATCACTGTCATCATTCGACTGACGTTTGTATTTCATTGATCCTTTTTCTTGTATATCTGGTACTCTAAACTGTGTAAAAGTCACGTGTAAAAGCAATCGCTAAATAATAATAAAAAAAATACTGCCATCATCATAGTCATCATCGTAATCGTTGTCATTGCATTCACGTTCATCGTCGTAATCGTCAGCATCGTTGTCGTCACCATTGTCATTATCATCGTAGTCATGATCATCGCAGTTCATCAATGTCGTCGTGATCATTATCATGGCCATCATCATCATCATCCTCCTCAAGTTCATCGTCGTCTTTGTCATCATATTCATGATCGTCTCCAATCGTCACCATCATCGACGTGGCGCATTCATCTCAACACAAATATCATTGCCCGAAGCTCCCTTGAGATCACGTGCAGTGTCCAGAAAACGGTTTTGCAACGATCGCTTGATGAATAAGACTGGTCAACAAAGAAAAACATTTTTTTCTGGCCTCGACTCTTGCAGCTGTTCTAGACTAATTTCAGGGTGCTGATTCCAAATCTGATCTCAGATTTGCTCCATCACATCTAATTTTTATGCTATCGGCATACCCAATTTTCATTGATTTTACCCGAAATTAACTCTGTCACTTATGATTGCAAGTTGTTGCGAGTCAGTGACTGCTTTGGTGTTAAAATACGGTGCTGTATTTTTAGGATAGTGTGTTTATAATATCCTTTTATGTAGATATCCACATCGATTTAATATTTTTCTTCTGCAGTTTTTATTGAAAATGCAATATTTGATATCTCAAAAACCTGATGTGATGGACAAAAACTGATGCCAGATTTGGAATCAGCACCCCAAAATCACATTAAACCCGTTGGAATACGTTATGCCAGAAAAAGTGTGTTGACCAGTGTAATCATCACTTTGCTCTGAACCACCCAGAATGTCGGGTTGAGTGAGGGCTGGCGAGTGGTCCACGCGCACGTGGTGGCCACGCATACGAATCATAAGACAGCACTCTGGGGAGCAAGGGTTAGCGGATCACGTAAAGACACAGCTGGTCTGCGAGGTGACCTTGGGGTCGACAGAACCCCAAGTGGGTTCGTGAACTCATCACTGTGGAAACTGTTCGATGTTATCTCCGTGTATGTGTGACGGTGCTTCCATTCAGACTACCTCTACACATTCACTTAATTTATTTTTTAACTCATAATTAACATTGACCAAACATCCCAAATGCAAGAACGTCAACTAAAATAATGGCAATATCCATTGAAGCCTCTGTGGTTAAATACATGGCAGTAGTGTACAACAAGAAAAACACAGTTAGTAAATTCAACAAACTAATCATTTAAATCACCCGGGATTGTGCCCCAATGTCATCAGATCTCGGGAAGCTAAGCAGTGGTTGAGCCTGGATAGTTCTTGGATGGGCAGCCAACATGCACTGCCGGTTGCTGTACAGGATTGGTCCATATGTTTTGTGACCCCCCCCCCCCCAATGAATTGACCTTGAACTTTTAAAATATCCTTTGCATATTAATTTGTGTTTTTTTTAAAACCTTACTTTAAATACATTCAGTTCTGGAGACTGAAATAGGGAGGGGGGGTCACAAGACATCTGCACCACCCTGCAGAGCTGATGCAGGGGGCTACGTGGCGGGCAGCAGAGAGGAAGGGGCAGGCCAACAGAGTCTCATCGTCGCCACTGCACCTCCAGCACTGCTACGGCGCTCCGCCATCGATGCACCCCACTTGCTCCCAACAGCACCGACCAGCGTGGTGAAGTATGGTCTTTTTCTGCAATATTTTGCTGTCTTTTCTTGGATTTTCTGTTTGCACTCAGTCACATATTGACTTTAAGATGTTTTTTTGTTCATGTTTTTGTTTTTTGTTTGTTGCGGTTGTACCCGATTCAAGAGCCGAATGGCTCACAGGGTTATACCTAATACATGAACTTGAACTTTAGACACAGCTCCCACGACCCGCAGTGCGTGGGGATGCCCTCGTCAAGAAATTTCCTTGCTGTAGTTGTCACACCTGATGATGATTGCTCGTGTTGCAATCGAAACGTCGTGATTTTATTTTTTATTTTTTATTTGCACCTACGTGACTTTACCGAAAGAACCAACGAATATCGACAAAGGGGGCCACCCCCCCCCCCCTCCAAAAAAAAACTCCGCTCACGCATTCAGCTTGTGAGTTCCG